GGAAAATTTTTAGAATTTGGTATTGTTCACGGTACTGTTCATCACTGTTCATACGGTATTGTTCATAAATATGTTTTTGACTCGAAATTTTATAACAAACACAATTGAACAACAAATGATCGTATTTTCTTAAAATGAGTTCAAATGTCTTGATATTTTGTAAAAAAGAGGTTTTGAAAATTCAATGTGACATCTCGGACTCGTATTCGGGTCAGATACGGGTTGGGGTGTTACAAGTAAACCCTAGTGGATCATGGTGCAAAGATGAGTTGGACAGATAGTAAACAATTGATAAAGATTCCAGGGGCTATGTTCCCGTTGAACTTGATGAAATTATCATTTGATTAGTTAAAATTATATTAAATATAAGTTGTTTGTCTCTAGAGACGATTATTTCAGAAAGATGCAGACGTTATGGAAATTATAGTTTTTAGTGAGAAAGTAAAATCATCGTTCAAGGTGATATCGATAATAGTGTGAAGAAAATGATATCAGAAAGATATAAATATATAGCTTTTATGGTTAATGTGATAGATACTCAAATAATTAAAGTAGAATTGTTTGATCATTTCACAAAAATTTAGGAATTTATAGAAGTCTTTTCAGGTAAATTTAATGAGTTACCTCTATATAGAAAGGTGGAATTCAAGGTTAATAGTTATTAAGGTATTGAACATGTTTCTATGATTTAGTATTAAATGACTTAAGTGAGTCAAGAGAATTAGAGACTCAATTATAAGAGTTGATTGATCAAAGTTTTATCAACTCGAGTATTTCATCTTGGGAAGTATGTGTGTTATTAGCGAAAAGAAAGATAAATCTATGTGGTTATACATAGATTTTGACAATTAAATAAGACTCTTCGAGAGAAGAACTTGTTTACCAAACTATTCAAATGTGAAACTTTGGTTAGCAGAGATGGTTTTCTTTGACCATGTTGTTTAGGCATAAGGTATAAGAGTAGATCTTAAGAAAAACTTAGTTTGTAGTAAATTGGAAACTCCCAAAAAAATGATCCTGAAGTTTGGATTCTTTGGGACTTGTTGTTTGCTATCGAAGGCTGGTGAAAACTTTTCGATGTTAGCTTTGCTACTAACCAAATTTTAAGGAAAGATATGTCTTTTCGTAGAAAAAAAAGGGTCAAGAGAGTTTTGAAATACTTAAAGAGGATTGTAACAAAGATACAAGTGTTTATACAACTTGAGTTGGGTAAATATTATGTGGTTTTTACTAAGTCATCTATCAACAGTTTAGGAAGTGTGCTTATGGACAAAGGTATGGTTGTGGTATATGCCTCAATAAAGTTAAAGACTTACAATAAGAATATCTATGTATGAATTAGAGTCGGTCGTAGTCGAGTACCATAAAAGATTTGATGTCATTAATTGTATAGTGAGTGGTGTTATAGTTGTGCTAATTACAAAAGTCTTATGTTGATCTAAAGAGAAAAATAGTTGAGTAACAAGAAAGTGATAAAGTTTTCCTGAAAGTATCGCTTTAGAATGAAGTATTGCGGTTTGGACTGAGTTCGAGAATTATTGAACCTTAATAGATTTTATCAGTTAGCTTTTGTCTCCCGAGATGGACAAGACCTATAATGTTTTCATGTGTCATTGCTTATTAATGAGCAATCAAATCCATTGCATGTTCTTACTTTGGGAAATGAAGATTCAATTAAAATGGAATTATGAAAAAAGAACCAATACATATTTGGACTAGAGAAATCCAGAAACCGCGTAATAAAACGATTTATCTAGTTGAAGTATTATAGTAAACACATAAAGTCTTTAAATTCAAGGACAAATTTTCTTAAGGGGGAGAATTGTAATACCCCAAATATCATGTAAGGGACTATATTGAAAAGATTTGAAAAATTAAGATTTATTTGAATAAGGGTAAAAGATGAGAAAATGTTTTGGAATAGTATTTAGACTAAATTGTATCAATAGATAAATTAAGAGGGCAATTTGGTCTTTTAAGAGGGTGAATGAATTTAAAAATATATCCTTATTAGGGATTTAAATAGGGCAAAAGAGGAAAGTAAAACATTTTTATTCTTCTTTTTCTCCTTCACGTGAGTAGTGCTCTCCTCCATGGTATAAGGTAAACTTCCATTAATTAGTTCTTTCTTTAAATTATGGGTTGCTTTGGTAATATTAAGTGATATGTGAGCTTAAGGAATGATTAAAGAAGATTAAAACTAAGTGGTGGATGTTTTATAGGATATTTAGAGAAATGGGTTTTTAAATGACATGTTCATATATGTGTTTTTATTGAGGTTTATTAGTAAAATTGAATTGTTGAAGGATTGAACAAGAGATTAGGAGCATGAGATATGATTAAAAACATGTTTAGAAAAATTATATGATTCTTGAGTTGAGATGTTCTATGAAGATGTTAAAGGTGGCAAAATGAAGTAAAGTTTGTTGGGTTAAGTAAAGATGATTTAAATAGTATTGTTGGCGGTAAAAGTATAAGATTAGAGGGAAAATTAAGTGAAATTCAAGCTGAAAAAGGTAAAATCTGGGTAAGGGTATCGGTACTGATAGAACAGTACCGATACTATAGGCTTAAAATAAGTAGAATCTGTCGACTAGTATCGATACCGATTCAAGTGGTATCGATACCAAGAGGGGAGTATCGATATTATGATGATGGTATCGATACCATTGTTAACAGAATGTAGAAATGATATCGGTAACGTAATGGAGTATTGGTACCATAGTATAGTAGTATCGATACCATGGTAGGGGTATCGATACTATTGAGCCAGAAATGTGAAGATAAGCTAAGATTGTTATAGAAAATATAATAATATATATACTATTGAGAAATGTTTAAATATAATTGTTAGGAAATATACTAACAATTAATATTGTACATGTCTTTGTTGGATGCTTGAGTAGATCGAAATTAAACTCCCAAGTCAAGCAAAAATAAAGGCAAAAGCAAAGTACCTGAGTAATCAACTTTGCGTTTTAGATACAATAGCGAGGCAATTCAGGTGAGTACATTTAGTATGTACGTATATGTTACGGTAGTCATAGATGTGTGATTGTTTGATATATGTATGGCAATTACCTAATGGCACTAAGTGTGCAAAAAGTTAAGAAATTCATAATTTGTTTATGAATTTCCGTATGGGCACTTCGGGTGCAAAAAGTTAAGAAATTCATAATTTGTTTATGAATTTTCGTATAAGAACTTTATGTGCAAAAACTATGAAATAATATGAATTTCTTTATTGGTATTGTGGATGCAATGGGATTATTGCATTGGCACTATAAGTATAAACCATAGAATGTTTAATGATTTAAAAGAGTTAATTGATATTATGAATAATTGTTATAGTAGAAACTATTCTAAAATAAAAGATTCATGGCCTAGTTGTGCATTTGACAGAAATGTATCAATTATGCTAGTTAGATGAAAGGCTAAGTGCCTTTGAGGCCTAGTTGTGCATTTGACAGAAAGGTGTCAATTATGCCAGTTAGATGAAAGGCTAAGTGTCTTTGAGGCTTAGTTGTGCATTTGACAGAAATGTGTCAATTATGCCAGTCAGATGAAAGGCTAAGTGCCTTTGAGGCCTAGCTATGCATTTGACAGAAATGTGTCAATTATGCCAGTTAGATGAAAGGCTAAGTGCCTTTGAGGCCTAGCTGTACATTTGACAGAAAGGTGTCAATTATGCCAGTTAGATGAAAGGTTAAATACCTTTGAGTAAAAGATTAATAAACTAGCTGTGAATTTGACAAAAATGTGTCAATCATGTTAATTAGATGAAAGGTTAAAAAGACTAGATGTATAACAATGCATAACGTTGTATCAAAGGCATGAAAGGATGCCATAAATGAAATGTATAATAGCGTATAAAAAGGGCATGAAAGGATGTCATAAATGAAATGTATAATAGTGTATAAAAAGGGCATGAAAGGATGCCATAAATGAAATGTATAATATCGTATAAAAGGGCATGAAAGGATGTCATAAATGAAATGTATAATAACGTATAAAATGCATGAAAGGATGTCATAAATGAAATACATATGGGTGCACTATTCGTACGAAAGGATGACATAATTGAAATGCATATGGGTGCATTATTGGCATGAAGGAATTCCATAAATGAAAATGCATAATATCGCATTATAAGAATAAATGGATGCTCTCAATGAAAATAAATAATAATGACTAAAGTGATAAATAGAAAAAGAAAAATATAAAGAAAGATATTTGTGCTAGACATACTAAAAATAATTAAGATAATTGTGAATGTAATACTATTTAACTGAGGAGGATTATAGGATCCCTAAAGAATATACGATATAATATAAACTAAATAATTATATGACATACTTATGTATGCATAAAGATTTCTTTACAATATTCTGACTCACTAAGTAAATACTTAACCAGTGTTGCTTCCACGCGTAGGTAAAAGAAGAGAAATCAAATAATGAGTGCAGCAATAGCAACAAATATCATCAATTAAGGTTGATTCGTCAGTAACTATAAGACAATCTAGTTTGTTTTGAAAAAAATTAGTTTGCATGTAATAAGTATGAAAAATACTTTGAATTGTATTTAAGTAGAACCTCTTATCATATTTAAATTAATATTTTGCTTTATCTTAAAAATGTTATGTTTTAAGAAAATCTATAAACAAAATTTTACGGGATTTTAAAAGAGGAAATATTTTAAAAGTGATATGATATATGTATTTTGTGTACGAAAAAGTATACGGAATATGGGTGTTAAACAACACAGATGACAACGAATCACACGTGGAAAACAGCGAGAGGAAAAACATGAAGGGGAGAATATAATTATATTTTAATACCATATGAAATTCTTAAGTAAAATAATATTGTTTTGAATTTTTTTGGTATCAAAATAGTTGCACCAAAACGTTTTGATAAGACAATCATACCACCAATCATTAGTCATGTAGTGTCACATCTATTATTTCATCGTCCTATTAAGTAGTTAACGACAGAATGACAAAATTAAAAGTTTGATTGTATAAAGGTGCCGATACTTAAAGTTTGGTAGTATCTGAAATTGTTTTCCCTTATTTTTATCATCTTTAACCCACCTTCATTAAAATCTCGATCAAATCTTAAGCTCCAACCCGTCATTATTATCTTCACTTAAATCACGATTAAATTCAACATACTTCAACTTTTACGAATAGTGTAGGGCTGATGAAAGTGAAATGTTGAGTCTGACACTAGTCACTGAGACATCAAGGAACCATCCTCATATCAGCTTTCATCTCTGAAACACCTTGCCAACAAATCCTTGCAAAGAACTCCCCATTCCAGCACCAACAGCTTCTGCCAAATACGTTGCCTGCAACAATGCCATTTCATTAAGATCACTAAAACATATTTCTAAAGGAAAAGTGATGGAGGGAGAGAGACTACCTCCTGTAATGTCTTCTTCAAATCAAATGCATCTTTCACCCGATCATCCAAGAACAGCCACGTATCGCGAAACTCTACCGGAAAATGATAAGCAAATCAAATTCCATCCAGAGGCTTGCATTTCCATTAGAAAAGGTTCTAGGTGCACAAAGGTAAAGGAAATAAACCTGGGGAGCGATCCGTCAGCATGTAAATCTCTGTTGCTGAGTATATCCCCCCAAGGAAAGTGCGCTTCACATACCAATCAATATCAGAGGCCTCGTCTCCAGCGGCATGCCAGATTTCATCAACCAACATTGCTCTCTGCTTAAAACTTGTTGGAACATTCAATGGATGAGCCTACAAAGAATGTTAGAAAAAAAAATAGTTGTCTCAAAGGGTTCGGCTTTGACCAAGTAAATCAGGTACTTATACAAGAAAATAGGTATGGGTTCTACTACTTGGAAGCTGAGAGCTTGAGGCCATTTCGATATGTAGGGTGCTTGCATTTCCAGGCGAATCCTGACAAGCTTTGAAATGCGTTGGCTAGGAATCAACTGTCGTAATTCCTCTCCAGAGTCAATTCTATCAATAAGCCTCTGTAAGCAGTCATCCATGAAGAACTGCAGATACAGGAAAAATGGTATTGTGACTGTTGAAGGATGGAGGAAAACCAACAATACTAACTGAAATTAGCAAACCTGAGCATGCATCAGATGGTGAGATATGTAAATATATGGATAAGATTAAAATGGAACTACGCATTACGAAACCAACATTTCATGGATGCAATTCAACATAGAAACTCCGAAATACAAGAGCAAAAAAACCAAATTAATTATCCAGGAACCGAGAAAAATGACCTATGCTACCTAAACTGTTCAGTTCCCTAAAAGAAACCACATTCAACACTTGTATCGAACACATCTGCAGACAAGGTAATGGGTATTGTCCTCCACATATATCAAAAACTTAAAAAAAAAAAAATTGAACATGCATATGTTGGACATATATTCATATCACATTTTCATATCTGAGACTCCTTGAAACTGAGTAATTAGAGGAAAATGGAAGCGTGCAAAGGTAAGAACTCTAAATCATAAGCATTACTATCACTCTCAGATTGTTTCTCAATTGTAATGCTCTAGCTAAAGTTTTCAAATTTGAATTCATAATAATCCAAATCAAAGAATAAATTCGAAAAATACATAAGTAAATTCCAAATTGTGAGAGAGTAAAAAGAGTAAAACTAAAGCTTACAAAAGTCGAGACCAGAAGAAGACTTGAAAATTAATTTCACGCAGGAAATTACCTCGACAAGTGCTGCTTCTTTACGAGGGAAAGATCCAACAATTGAAGGCGAAACACCAACTTCCTTTGCACCAGCTATCATCGTTTCTTCACTCCATCCGAACCTTATCTGCGTAAACAAAAATCGAATTTGAAAAAAAAATCAAACATAATAGTATGATACTGATCAATGTTCATACGACGTGTCGTAGTGAGGCTTGCAGCACATGATCTTGCTCCTCCTCGTACTCGGCTCTGGGATTCTTCCTCCTCTGACGCGGATCATCCCCAGCCGTCGTTGGTGATGATGATGACGTGGAAGAATCAGAAGGATGAAGGGTTTGATTAGGAAACGTTTGAGGGTCGGCATAGGTGGAAAACCATGAAGAGGTAATAACAGTTCTGAGAATAGGGAAGCGGAGGAGGCTGCTTCCGCCGCTGTTTTTAACAAGAGAGGCGTGGTGGAGGAAGCGATTCGCCGCCATTCGATACATTTTTTTGGTCTGGTTCTTCAGCTTGTGTTCCGTTTCGCAGAGGGCTTTTTTCCACACAAAAAAAAAACATCGGATACCCTTGCACTTTAGAAAATAAACTAATGTGGCCCTTGATTTATTTTTCACTCAATGTGACCCTTCAACTCAAAGAATATACTTAATATGATCCTTGGACTAATGTTTTTTTATCGTTGATCATTACAATGCTGATGTGGCAGTTGACAATACTGATATGGCTCTTCACAGCACTAACGTAGTGGTCCACGGTAGCTGATAACATGATAGATGATAAAGGTGTTAAAAAATATACGACCTAAATGACCTAACCCGTCGACTCGATAAAAAAATTATCAGGTATTTATATTGAAAATACCGAATTTTCAAGTCATGTATTCGGTCCTCTATTTTTTTATGATTTTTTAGGTTGGATCCAAGATATAAAATAATGCTTAACTGGATACTATCAACCCGATATCTGATTTCTTTTTTATATATATATAATTCTTAATTCTCGAATTATTTCCCTCTAAAATTTTATATTACTAATTTACTAAATTATTTAACCATAACCTTATAAATTCTTAATTTATTAAATCATTTCACCCTAATATTCTAAATTATTTTAGAAAAAATAACTTCAAAATATTTTCAAATTTAATTATATTTCTTTATTTTATTTTTAATACGTTTTTCCTAATTTGAATTTTTAGATTTTATGTGTGAATTACGTATTATAAAAACTTAAATTATAATTTTTATGTTAATTTTTTAAAATAATTTAATTTAAAAAATTATATATATATATATATATATATATATATATATATATATATATATATATATATATATATATATATATCAGGTACCCGTGGCCCATAAATAAGGGTGCCTAAATTTTACGGTAACCGACTTGTAGATACACAGACTTAGCAGGCTAGGACACGGGTCAACATTTCAGTACCAAGAAATCTCAAGTACCCGATTTTGAACACTCCTAACAAATGATATGACATATGGACAAAATTATTTTTTAATTTTCTTTGAGGATTAAATTATTTTTTTAAGTTCAGGGAATTATTTATTTTTAAAAAAATAAGAAAGGTTAAAAGTTTAGAATATTTTAAAAAATTAAATATAAAATACTATAAATAAGAACTAAATTACTAAAAATTAAATATATAACTTAAAAATACTAAAAATATTGTTAAAAATTAAAAAAATAAATGGATATCGTTAACTAAAAACCATAAGTTATAAATTATTAAAAAAAATAATTTTTTATATATTATACATAACACATACATGTAATATATAGTCATATTATCAACACTTATATAAAATAGATTAGTCGAGAATTACTAATTTGTATTGAAATAATAAATTTTCCGTATCAATAGACACATTTACTCGTACTTCAAACAATTCTAATGACTGTAAATCCTTAGACATTGTCAAATAAGCTAGTATCTAAAGCGACACTTAAAATTTATTTGAAATATGATTATATTTGTGTATTAATGTGAGTAACTTTTTATATTTCCTATTTATATTTAGACATAAAATTTGTAAGTTCCGACTAATTCATTCAGAATATTTTTGCATAAATATTGATGATAAGACCATATGTTAGATGGATAATGTGGTATATATTTATATATTTTTATTTTTTAATAATTTATAATTTATATATATTTTTTAAATTTTTTAATAGTATTTTTAGTATATATATATATATATTAATTTTTAATAATTTAATAATTTAATAATTTAATTTTTATTTTTTTTATATTTAATTTTAAAAATATTTGTATATTTAAAATTTAAAATTTTTATTTTTAAAAAAGAAAAGAAATAAGCCCCTGAACTTAAAAAAAACAATTTGACCCTCGAATAAAATCAAAAGACCAATTTAGCTCATCTATCATGTCATTAGCCATCGAAAACCACCACGTCAGCAATGTAGATCAACATGTTAGCACTTTAATGATCAACGACGAAAAATGTTAGTCAATCACATTAGGTATGTTTTTTGAAATGGAGGACCACATTGGCTTAAAAAATAATTTGAGGGCCATATTAATTTTTTTTTCAAAAGTAAAAAGGACTCTAAAGCCTTTTTTCCAAAAACAAAATAAATTTATATATTTCTACTATTACTTTTCTTTTAGAGTTAATTGCATCACATGCCCTTAAATTAAAACTCTTATTTTAAATTAGTCCTTAAACTTTTGAATATTCTAATTTTATCCCCAAATTATGACCCTCATTCTACATTAGTCCTTAAATTTTTCAGCATTCTAATTTCATCCCTAAATTATGACCCTCTTTCTAAATTAGTTCTTAAACTTTTGAATATTCTAATTTTATCCCTAATTAATCCAAATATATAATTAGTTTCAACCATAATTTAACCTAAATTTTGTTTTTTAAAACATATAATAATATAACTTGGCCTAACGATTTTATTAACAAGGAATGCAATTAGTATATATGCATAGAAGGGATTTAAATAGCGGTATACGACCACAATAATGATCGTGATATAGTAGTAGCGGTGCCGTTCGCAACAATTATTGTATGACTGTGATACACGCAATCATCGCAATAGTGTCTGCTATGTCTATAATCGCGATAAACCTGACACAACGAAAACAACCGCAATTTTAATCTCTAATGTATAATTTGCGATGAAATTGGAATGTTAAAAAATTTTAAGGGTCAATTTAGAAGGGTAATAGTTTGGGGATTTAGTTTAAATGTTCATAAGTTTGAGGATCAATTTAGAATGATAATTAGTTTAAGAATGAAATTGAAATATTTAAAGTTCAAAGACCAATTTAAAATGAGTGACATACTTTGAGGACATGTGATGTAATTAACTCTCTTTTAACATCTAATCTAATTCACGTAAATGAACCATAAATTAGAATTGCCCAAAACGTCACCGTTTTCTGGGAACTGTTGTTCCAAAATCCTTTTTCATAATTTTAAGGGTAAACTCTAAAAATAATCACCAAACGTTTTTCATGCTTACATATTAGTCACTAAACTTTTAAAACTTACAATTCGTTCACTGATATTTAATTCACTTTCATTTCAATCGGTATTTGTCAACTGTTGTAACTAAATACTAATGTGGCACATTGTCATATTCTTTCCCAAAAAATCTTAAAGATTTTTAAAGTAATGGCAATCATTGCGTACGTCATTAACGTCCGACGTTCTTTTTATTGTCATGTCTATTAAACACAACACTCACTATACTTAACAGTTTACCATCATCTCATCAAAGTCTCAAACACAATACAAGCTCCCTCACTGTCCAAACTCCATTAAATTGCAACAACTTCCATTTAACATGTGTTATTATTGTCCAAAATTTTTCATAATTTTACTTAGATAAGTGTGTTTTAATAAATTTATATTTCTCAAAAGTATTTTAATCAATATTGCATTTAGGCCTCCTTGACTCATCCCTTAATTATAAATCATTACCACTTTCCTTAAACCAAATCAAGAGTCAAACTAAGCTAATTTGGCATTTGATGTCAATATCAAGTAGAAAGTATTCATACTCAATCTTTTAATATCGATATTTTTGGGTAATATTGATACTAAATTCATACAATGAAATCTAATCTTTAATTTCGGTATTAATACCCAAAGTCGAGTATTAATGTTGAATAGGAAATATCGATACATCATAAATGAGTATCGATACTTCTTGATTATTTTGTTTAGATTTCTACTCTAATTTCACACGATATTAATACCAAAAGAATAATATAGATACTAAAATTCAGAAATGACAATTTCAATCTCAAAAATCACTTCTAGTACCCCCTCTAAACATTGAATTTAAGATATTGCTCGATTACTAATACTTATAAGAGTAATGTTAGATCATTTAACATCTGATTTATACATATTTAACAACAGAGACATCAATTTAATCAAAAAGCATGATTGACACTCAAACCGCTCAACATGCATCACACCAGAAAGTAAAGTATCGTTCATACATGGATTATAATGTTAGTATGATGCCATCGTGTCATCACAGCTGTCATCGCAATTAAATTTCATGTTAATATCATAACGATCAATAATTATTTTTATTTAGAAAAATAATGATGAAATTCGTGAAATTCGAAGACTAAAATAATATAATTAAAAAAATGAAAGATAACACTGTTGGTTAAAATGTTAAATTGATATAATTACAAAAGAGATAATATTACTCATTCGAAATAATTACGATTATAAAATTACCCAAAATTTTATTTTTTTTATAATGATTTTGTTTCTTCCACTTAAGTAGCAAGGATGTATAAAAGAATATATATAATACAAATAATGTTGATCTGACTTGATTTGTTTAATTTTTTTTCTATAAGTTTACATCTAACGTGAATTATTATTTAATAAAAAATATTATAAGTTTAACTTTATTTTTTTTGGTAGATAACAGTGAAACAGAAGTAGGACCAAGCGACTAGCTTATAATAATAAGAAAGAAAGGAAGAAGAAAAGACGCGTCGCCGATATAATTAACCAGGAATGGATTAAGAGAGAGTGGGGGAGAGGCAGTTCTATTGTAAAAATTTAAAATTATTATATATTTTAGATTTTTCTATGTAGTTGTCTCATGAAATTTAAAATTATTATATATTTTAAAATTTTCTATGTATTTTCTATTGAAAAATTATTTTTGTATTTTGAAATTTTATAAATTTAAACTCATCCTTTTAAAACTTCAAGTTCGTCCCCAACACAAAATCTTAAATCCGTTTTGTAGATACCGATTTTTGTCCGAGTCAAAAAATTATATATATATATATATATATATTAATAATAATAATATTATTATTTTATTTACATTTTACATTTATTTTTGTAGCCCAACTACAAGCAACCCCCAATCCAAACCCATATTACAATAGACCCGGGATCCGACCCGAACCGGTTCAAGCCCAATACCCGAATCTGACCCGGTTAAAGTCACCACCAACCCACTGCCAACACCATGCTCCACACCAACCGTGCCATGCCCTGCCAAC